TTTTTTTGAGACAGGGTCTACTCTGTCGCCCAGGCTGGAGTGCAGTGACCCAATCTCAGCTCACTGCAACTTCACCTCCTGGGCTCAAGCGATCCTCCCACCTCAGCCTATCAGGTAGCTGTGACTACAGGCGCATGCCTTTGCAACCGGCTAGTGTGTGTGTGTGTGTGTTTGTAGACACTGGGTTTGCTATGTTGCCCAGGCTGGTCTTGAACTCCCGGGCTAAAGCAGTCCAACCGCTGCGGCTTCTCAAAGTACTGAGATTACAGGCGTAAACCACTGCGCCCCACCCTTATCCCCGATGTTCAATCCCGTTTTGTTATTCCCACCCCTTCTCCTCCCAGCACCCCGAGTTCCAACCCCGCTCCCTTACCTCCCCTCCGCGTTCGATCCCCGCCCCTCTGCGGACGGGCTGCGTTCTAGCCAGCTCTCCTGGCGCGCTGCGTTCAGCCCCTGCCCTCATTACTCCACGCCACCCTTTCCCAGCTCCCTTCCACTTTCACGCGCTTCTCCTCCCGTTCCCGTCGGTGCACGCGGAACCCCCAGCTGTTCCCTACCACCCTCGCGTTCTGGCTGTGAGCCTTGTCCAGAACACAGTCCAGTCCCACGGCCCAGCTCCGACCCCAGCTCCAGCCCCTGCCCTCCATGCTCTCTCTGATCTCATCTTCCTTCTCCAGCCGCGGAGGCGGTGCTTCTCCCCCAAAACGACACGCGCTTGGACCCCGAAGCCTACGGCGCCCCATGCGCGCGCGGCTCGCAGCCCTGGCAGGTCTCGCTCTTCAACGGCCTCTCGTTCCACTGCGCGGGCGTTCTGGTGGACCAGAGTTGGGTGCTTACGGCCGCGCACTGCGGGAACAAGTAGGAGGAGATCCCTGAGGACGCCACGGGGGGCTGTGGAGGCGGCCTCCGGGGAGGAGCGGGCAGGGCCGGGGCGCTCGGAACTCCCACAGCTGGAGGCGCGGTCCCTCGTGTCCTTCCCGCAGAAGGGGACATGGGCTTTGCGCTGTGGCCGCCAGGGGGCGGTGTGGTCCTTCTCGGCATTTCTGGGCCGGTCACTCCTGTCCCGCTGATCCGCCTGGAGCTCTAGGAGTAGTAGGTGGTGGCATCCAACAGATAGAAGTCAGGGTCCGGTGGGCTCAGGAATCTAGAACTAAAGGAAAAGGTTCACTTCGTGAGTCTCCATTGAAGGAGGAAGAGTTGGGTATTATCACAGAGAAAATGTGGAGGGATGGGCGCGGTGGCTCACACCTGTAATCCCAGCACTTTGTGAGGCTGAGGCAGGTGGATCACCTGAGGTCAGGAGTTCAAGACCAGCCTGGCCAACATGGCGAAACCCCGTCTCAATTAAAAATACAAAAAAACTTAGCTGGACGTGGTGGCGGGCGCCTGTAATCCCAGCTACTTCGAGAGGCTGAAGCAGGAGAATCGCTTGAACCAGGGAGGCAGAGGTTGCAGTGAGCCGAGATTGCGTCGTTGCACTTCAGCCTGCATGATGAGTGAAACTCTGTCTGAAAAAAGAAAACGGAAGGGAAAGGAAAAGGGAAAATGTGGAGTAGACTTACCTAGGAGTCCAGGCCCCCAACCCTTCTCAAAATCCTGCAGATCTTCGAGCTCAAACACGTGATTCCTCCTGCCCATGTCCAGGAGCCCAAGTCCAAAGTCCCCTTCTCCCCCAAGCCTCTCTTCCCTCATACCCCTCCCATCTCTGGGTCCTACCCCAACCCTCACCCCACTGCCCATGCCCACCTTCCCAGTCCCTGTGAAGTGTTTGCCATCACATGGCTCTTCCTTCCCCCAGGCCACTGTGGGCTCGAGTTGGGGATGACCACCTGCTGCTTCTTCAGGGCGAGCAGCTCCGCCGGACCACCCGCTCCATCGTCCATCCCAAGTACCGCCAGGACTCAGGCCCCATCCTGCCAAGGCGATCAGATGAGCACGACCTCATGTTGCTGAAGCTGGCCAGGCCTGTAGTACCAGGACCCCGAGTCCGGGCCCTGCAGCTTCCCTACCGCTGTGCACAGCCCGGAGACCAGTGCCATGTCGCTGGTTGGGCCACCACGGCCGCCCGGAGAGGCAAGAGCTGGGGCCCTGAGGCCGGAATCTCAGGAGGAGGGGGCTAGGGGCCTGAACTCCTGGATCTGAGGAAAGACGGGGTGGGTCTCACGGAGGAGGGGCTGAGGGCCTGGATGCCTGGGTCCGTGAGTCCGAGGGAGGAGGCGCTGGGGGCCTGAACCCTTGGGTCTGAGGGAGGAGGGGCTGGGGACCTGGACTCCTGGGCCTAAGTGGGGAGGGGCTGGGGCCTGGATTTTGAGTCTGAAGGAGGAGGGGCTAGGGGCTGGGATAGAAACAGTCTTGTATCTGAACTCCTGGCTCCCCAAGTACTGGGGGCTGGAGCCAGGGATGACTGGCGTATTCTCCCTTCAGTGAAGTACAACAAGGGCTTGAGCTGCTCCGGAGTCACTATCCTGAGCCCTAGCGAGTGTGAGGTCTTCTACCCCGGTGTGGTCACCAGTAACATGATATGTGCAGGACTGGACCAGGGCCAGGACCCTTGCCAGGTAGGGTCTGAACAGGGAGCAGCTCTGACTCCTGGGAGGGAGGACGGGGAGGTTATGGGAAAACAGCAGACCCTGTCCCCGCTCCCAACTCCATTCCCACACCCATCCTTGGCCCCAACTCTTCTCCAGTCCTACCCCCCTCCTCATCCCGATCCTCAATCCCATTTCCATCCTCTAGCCATTCCTAACCCTGCCCCATTCCCATCTCCAAGCCCATCCATCTCCTCACCTTCCGTGAGCTACAGTCCCAACCACAGTCTCACCGTGTGTCCATTCCCACCCCCAGCCCAGCCTCCATAACCCGAAGTCCCCCTCCGTTCCTCCCACCAGCCTCAGACATACCTAATTCCAACCCCACCCCAACCTCAACTTTATCCCAGCCAGCCCCTTCCTTCCCCACCACTGCCCCAGATCCCGAAGTGGCAGCTCTCACGGTGGCGTATTTATTTGATCTGTCCTTTCTGCCATCCTCAGAGTGACTCGGGAGGCCCCCTGGTCTGTGATGAGACCCTCCAAGGCATCCTCTCGTGGGGTGTTTACCCTTGCGGCTCTGCCCAGCATCCAGCCGTCTACACCCAGATCTGCAAATACACGTCTTGGATCAATAAAGTCATACGCTCCAACTGATCCAGATTGCCCAGACTCCATCGTCCATCCTCTTCCTCCCTCATCGGCTGAACTCTCCCCCTGCCTGCACTGCTCAAACCTCCGCCGCCGCCCATACCTCTTAACATCTCTCTTCTCGCGTGATTCCCCCCGCCCACCCCCGCTCTCTGCCTGCACTGAAGTTGAAGTGCAGAAAAAGATGGCAAAGGTTTATTCCAGAGAAGCAAGGAAGCTGGTCATGGCCCAGTCTCTTGAGAACAGTTATTGGGGTCACCCAACCTGGCTTCCTCTGCCTCTCCCTGCTGTGTGACCTTGGGCAAGTCAAGTGCCCTCTCTGAGCCTCAGTTTCCTCATCTGCAAAACGGGAACAATGATGTACCTACCTCTTAGACATGTTGTGAGGAGACTATGATATAACATGCATATGTAAATCTTCACGGTGATTATCATGT